AATCTACTCCCTCTTGTCTTTTTTTCTGCAAAACTTTTACGTTTTTGCCGTCATCAGTACAACCAACATTATCTTCCATGCTTGAAAGGATCTTTTTGTTTGGTTTTATGTTTTGATTTCTGCCTTTTTTTAAAAAAAGCTGCTTTCCTTTTCATTATCTGAGATCCTCCCAGTGATACGCTCTCAATCAGATCAGCTTCTCCAGAGGTTAACACGAGGAGAAAGCCGTGTTGTGTAAATCAACATGTCCTGGCACAATCCGTTGAGTTCGTACAGTTTTTAGGATTAGCCTGAGTACTCGTGATAAAACTGTAAGACAAAACTTAATCCTGTGTTTCACAATGATTTGTTGTTATCATGATGTAGATATTCCTGTTGCAAGATTCTTTTTTTTTTTTTTTGTAGTGGGTAGGTAACTGACTCTTCCGCTTTGACCTGACCATGTTTTCTCCCTGTGTATGCTGCAGTTCCCTGCATCCCTGAGGGTCTCGGGGGGACAAGCTGTTCGTGGAGAAAAGCCAAGATTCTTGCAACTTTCACGCTCCCCACGTCCTGTCCAGACCCACCTCTCCTCTCCAAAACCCTCCTCTGCCGTTCTTGCTCAACAGACCCTTTCATATTTCACTCTGTTCGCCCGTCCGCTCGCCTCCCCTCGTTCTGGCCTCCCTCTCTCCTCGTAGCTCACTTCCTCTCGCCTCCACCTGTCCAAGAAGGACAGACGTCCCAGAACTGTCCCACTCTCGTCTCTGCAGCCTTTCCTCACCCTCCTGGCCCCTCGGTTCCCCTCATGGGCACCATATCAGACTGCAGCAGCACATTCCCTACGTCTTCACTGAGAGCCCCTCTCCAGCCCTAACCGCTCTGCCAACGCCAACACCAACACAACCCGATGGACACAAGAGACATAATGATGACCAGCATGCTGACAATGGACAAAGGGGAGGATGGGGGAGAGAGGGACAAAGGTAGGGAGGAGGTGGAAGGGGAAGAGGAGGAGACACAGCGGGAAAACGGCCGACTGGTGCTGGCCGACGGCGTCGCGGACAGAGGACCCAAAAACGTGACTTTGGGCTCCAGCCAGCAGGTGTCCAATGGCTTCACAACGTCTACCCCGCAGAGCCCCAGGGAGGGACCGGGAACCGCTGCAGGCGCAGCATCCGGGCCCCCAGGAGGCACCGGGTCTACGGTGCCGCTGGGAGGGCTGAGAACTCTGGTGGTTCAGCAGACCAGCCTGGAGCGGCCCAGGGAGACCTGGAGCAAGAAGATGGACTTCCTGTTGTCTGTGATTGGCTACGCCGTGGACCTGGGAAACGTCTGGCGCTTCCCGTACATTTGCTACCAAAATGGAGGAGGTGAGGAATGGAAAGATGCTTGGAGGAGATAAAAGTGTGAAAAGGGGACCGGGGGGGGATTAAGTGTAGGGGATTTGGGTTTCCACGCTACAGCTGATGTAATTTTAGGAATTTGGAATTAAAACAGCACTTAAAGTCACTGCACACTAAACATCATTGTTAAAAACAAGTAGATTATGTGTACCCATCTTCTCTCTAGGCTCAAATTAAAAAAGGAAGTTTTTTTTTTTCAAAAAGTGGTAAGTTAGTGTTTTGACAAAGACTGTGTGTCCTGCTGAGCTCCAACGCTGCACTACTCTCACCTGGCGGCAATTTTATTGAATTCACAGTAATAAAATCTTGTAATTTCCTGTATTGTGTGTGTGTTTGTGCATCTGTGTGTGTGTGTATGTGCATGTCTCACTGAGCGAGGTGGAGATCGTGCCTGGGAGACACTTGATAGAGGCAACAGTATTAATTGTGGCTTCTTATGAGAGCGGCCTCGCTTTCTTTCTTTCTTTCTTGCTTAATAACCTGTCTCCAAGGCAGCTGCTCAATCAACCCTTATCTTTGCTTTCTTGTCATCGGCGCACACAAACTCCCGACTGCACACATGAACACACATAAAGTTTAAAATCAGATAGAAAGCAAGGTAGAGTGAGATGTGTGATCGTAGCTGGGAAGTCTAAAGACTTGGCCTCTATCCTCGGCAGTGTTTGGCCCTAATGTGACTTTTATGTGTTTGATTTTTGGAAACACTAGTCCAGCACAGTATATTTTCTCATCACTTTCCTTGCCCCTTTTTCCTTGTGCCTCCTCAGGTGCCTTTTTGCTGCCATACCTGTTGATGGCAGTGTTCGGGGGTGTGCCCCTGTTCTACATGGAGCTAGCTCTGGGGCAGTTTCACCGCAGTGGCTGCATCTCCATCTGGAAACACATCTGCCCCATCTTCAAAGGTAAGAGGGAACGGACCGGACAGAAGGTAGTAAAGTGAGGGAGGACGAATGGGTCATGGGAGGTTGATGGACAGCGCATTTAACCTTTTCGCCCCTCTCAGTTTAGCTTCAAAGTTGCTCGTACACGAGAGCGAGATGCATTGACTCTGTTATGGAAATTGTCACATTTCCAAGCCAAATGCCAAGTGCTCAGACATTTGATAGGATGGGAATGATTGTTGTTTGGAAATGTCACCCTTTAAGACCAATGGAGAACTTTAACAAGCTTGTAAACTCTACAGATGTTTCGTCCCTGTCCTGGATGTGATTGACAGTTGTTGGACAGGTCATTTAATATTTTTTAACTCTAATTAAGGGAAAGTTTGTGCTAATAGCATTATCCTCCAACTCCTCCAGGAATCGGCTTTGCCATCTGCATCATAGCCCTCTACATAGCATTCTACTACAACACCATCATGGCCTGGGCTCTCTACTACCTACTGTCATCGTTTCGGCCCACCCTGCCCTGGACCACTTGCAGCAACAGCTGGAACACGGCCAACTGTCACCGCTACATGTCCTCTGACCACAACGTGTCCTGGTCCAACTCGTCCACGTCGCCAGCCGAGGAGTTCTATACGTAAGTGCATGTAAGTCGGATGCAGAGGCAWTGCAGGGAACAGGAGGGAGCTGAAGATAGAGGATGGTGTCTAGAAAGGGATTGCGGAGTCTGTTTTCGATTGATACGATACCCACCATCTCCAGTTGCAATGGTAATTAGTGAAGACAAATTTAACGATGATGTCTCAAGTCCATTTTATTATTTTCTCACTGGAAAACGATTTTAAACAGCGGAGTTCCTCTGTCTTATGAGCTGCTTTGAGCCCCCTCCAGCGATGCAGACCCAGGCTTTATTCAAAGACCTAATGCAAGTTTAAAAGTAACAAATTCCACAAGTCAGACGGCGCCAGAATTTCCTGTTTTCAGCGTGAATCATGCCTCTGCGTTATCGTCCAAGCTCTGTTTACTCAACCTGTGACCGGACATCAACCTTGCAGTCCATTTCAGACTTACTTTTCCTTGTAATTGCTTGTTGATAAAAAGTTTCTTCAGAGATTGCCAAGGCTGTCTGAACTGCGCTGACGTTTGAACTCTCCTTGTTGCACATTTGACGCACTTGTTCGACAATTGTTTTTGTACTTCCTATCTCAAATGTTGCCTTTTTCAGTGTGTCTACTTTCCCATTCACAGGCTTCTTTTTCTCATGCCATGACGCTGATTTATTTCAGGATGTTTGTTGCTTCATGCTCTTCTTGAGGGTCCATCATCCCTTCACCGTTTTTATCGCTTCTTGTTCCCTTTACCGTCATGTTTTCTATCATCTTGTACCTGAACCTCTCTTTGATCCCTGAGACCCTTCCCTTTTTAGTAAATGAGCTTGTTGTCAACCTGTCATATCACTMTCAACCTCCTCTCCTGTGTCCTCTCACCAGTCGGCAGGTGCTACAAGTCCACCTCTCCCCAGGCCTGCACCAGCTGGGCTCCATCAGCTGGCAATTGGCCCTCTGTTTGCTCTTCATCTTCACCATTGTCTACTTCAGCATCTGGAAAGGAGTCAAGACATCTGGAAAGGTAGCTCATGGGTTGCCTGCATGGCTAATGGGGATGTCAGTCAGAGTGAATGGATGGATGATGAAAAGAAACAAACAGAAGCAACTATCTCCTCACCATCACTATCATTCATTATCAAACAAAACGATAGCTGCTTTGAAGTTAAACACCATTATCTAATCATACCAATTCAAATATCAACTCAAAGTAATAGGATTCATTTTTGAAGTGGTGTTCTGTCAAATAGTTATCAATAGTTAGTAGTTTATCAGCCAAGATATCAGTTATAAAATACAAAATTTGAAGAAAGCAGCAGTCTTTTTTAAAGATAGCCAAGTGTGCCAGTATTATCATTTTTAGGCTTACTGATATGAAAGGACGCTACATTGGCTGATATTAAAATTCTAAGCTTTTAAATGACACAGACTGTGTGAATACACAAACGTGTGCAATGAGTATATGGACCATGTGTTTGCCAATGGTGCCAAAAGTCAGTGAATGGTTCAGTCCACTTGATTGGCCAAGTCAGTCCAGAGGTTTATTCAACCCCTGGCGACCAAAAATACTTGCAGCCTCCGCACCATCAGCATAAACAAAGTTTGTCTGTGCTTAACACCCATTGGCATTATAACATTGGTGTTATTTGGTCGAGAAAACAAAGACCAGCTAAACCAACAGCATGAAGAAAAATCATTATTGGCTAATGTGGAGGGGGGTTTTTTCTCACTGGTATGTTTTTTTCAAGAAAGGTTATTTATAAACCTAAAAATCTTTTTTTAATTGACTCTTTTTTGATTATAGCCATTAGTCTGGCTTGGATGAAGACTTTTGCCTATTCCTTGCTACTCCCTACTATGGCTAATAAGGTTCTAATGACTGAACACCCCTATGAAAGATAAAGGAAAACGTAATCCTTATTGTTTTTGTCTGTATTAGGTAGTGTGGGTGACGGCTACATTTCCCTATCTGGTTCTCCTGATATTGCTGATCCGTGGGGCCACTCTGCCAGGAGCCTGGAGGGGCGTTGTCTTCTATCTCAAACCTGACTGGGAGAAGCTGCTTAGCACTACAGTAAGTCCGACCTTCTTAAACATCCTCATCACATAAAGCTCTATCCCAGATGCYACACAGTTCAGTGAACCTCCCTGTTAATTACCATCACTGATCTTTCACACTGTCACAGGTGTGGATCGATGCAGCAGCTCAGATCTTCTTCTCTTTGGGGCCGGGCTTTGGCGTGCTGCTCGCCTTTGCCAGCTACAACCCATTTCACAACAACTGCTACAAGTAAGAATGGACTTTATACGTCGATGTGGAGCTRTAACATATTCTAAAAATCAAATTTGGAAGTAATAACAATTTTGAATCTTTTAGGGATGTAAAAACAGTTTTTGTTGGAAAATCTCTGAAATCCACTCATGTCCTGCCACTCATTCCATTGTTTTTTGTAGAGATGCGCTGGTCACCAGCTCGGTGAACTGTCTGACCAGCTTTCTGTCGGGTTTTGTCATCTTCACCGTGCTGGGTTATATGGCCGAAATGAGACACCAAAGCGTGGACGTTGTGGCCAAGGACGCAGGTAGAACAAACTAAGTCTGCATTTCAGATTCACTTTCCTGAAAAAAAAAAAGCATTTCCTCTACATGCATCAAGTCCCAGAGTTCAGGTCACAGTTGTTTTTAAGGTTTACAAATCTTTAGGCAATCATCTGTGTTCCAACTGAAAAAACCTGCGTGTTAACCTGCCTCTCTGATTTCCTTCCAGGCCCCAGTCTGTTGTTCATCATTTATGCAGAAGCCATAGCGAACATGCCTGCCGCCACGTTCTTTGCCATCATTTTCTTCCTAATGATCATAATGTTGGGTCTGGATAGCACGGTTAGTCTGCTGATTACTCCTTGCAGCTCCATKTGGTTCTCCCTCTCATTTTTCTTATCTACCTAATTCTATTGCTGCGCACTTTTTAACTCTTTTTCAAACCTAGAAACAAAGTTTTTTTTTCTGTAGACACTTTGTGCCCTTTGCCTTGTGTCTACTTGTGCTAGTTTTTTTTTTTTCCATTAAGGTGCTGGCAGTTATTTGTCCTCTCTTTTTCCTCTTTTGAATAACATTCAATGAAAACAATGTGATCAGGGGTTCATATCTCTGTTCTGTGTGGTCGTCTGCAGAAAAAAAGCCTTTGTTTATCGGCGCTGAGGCAGCCAGCCGAGTACTCGTAATGCTCTTATCACACGTTGATAATCATTTTAGAATCAGCATCGGGGTTGTTGTGCTTCCTCAATTTTTATGACTGAGGATATTACTCCAGAACGTCTCAGTCTATTTAAATTCAGTGTCGGACTGGTTTAAAATTTCATCTTGTTCAACCGAGGTTGTTGAGAATAAGCTCCGCTTTGATGTGCGGCTGCTTCACCTTAAGGTTGCTTTAGAACTTTGTGTTGCTGCTCTGTTTGTTTCCTTTCTTGTTTTTAATGTTCTTTTTATTTTGTGCCCCTGTAATCTTTGTTTTTAATCAGATTTTTCTCACTGGTGCTCTTTTCCCTCCAGTTTGCAGGCTTGGAGGGGGTGATTACAGCCATGCTAGATGAGTTCCCTCATATCCTGGCCAAGAGGCGAGAGTGGTTTGTCTTTGGTCTCGTTTGTGTCTGCTACCTCGGGGCTCTGTCTACTCTCACATATGTAAGATAATCAAACAGATTACACAGCTTTAAAGCAATCACTATTTGTTAAAGTGGGGATTGACTATATCTTTTACTTCAGTCTGCATGTCAGGTTCTTCACGACTAAATGAAAGTTTTGAATATTAAAATCCAAAAATACCTTGGATATGCACCTTTGGTTATTTCTGATCAATCATTATTTGTGTGGTACTTTTTAAGCTCAAGGTAACCCAAATGTCAGGCTTGAGTGCAGGAGAAGACCAAGCGATAAGTCAAAAAACTCAAAGACTACGGTGCTGAAAATGAAAAAAGATGCTGATATGACACCAGAAAAAGGCACTTACTAGAATAACCAGGAGAAAATACGAGGAGCACTAGGGAAGCCAAACCAGACTGACATGAGAAAGTACAATGGACCAACTGGGAAGTAAAGACAAGACACAGGCTGTGTCTCAATGGGGACGTTCACTCTGGATATTTTTAAAACACCAATCAACTGACCATGTCTGCTCAACACGTACAAACTCTAGTAGCAGCACCACTGGTTTTGATCACAATGTGCTGGTTTAGCTGTGTTTAAACTTAAATAAATTAGGTAAAACAGCTTTAAATTCCACTKTGTGGACTACAAAACATTGTGCTATGGAACTTGTAACAGTGATTCMGGATACAGCCATTGTCCCAACATGGGAGAATTATTTTTTTATCACTTTTCCCAAGCTAAGATACTAGCTAACAGCTGGATTAGAGTGATGGACTGACTGGAAAAAAGTGCAACCAAGGTACCAAGGTAAAAGACCAACTTAGGACCACCCAGATCATATACTTGCCCTTTCTGTCTTTAAAGAGGTACAGTAAACCTTATATTGTTAGCCTACTGCTAGCTTACTCGTAGCATTCCTGCATCTGCTGGAATCAGTCACACATACAGTGTGATATTACTAGCCTACTTGCTTAAATTTTACTTTGTTAAGTTTCCGTTATGAGATGCAGAAGCATTGGCTCCAGCGATAAAAGTACACACACTCACACTAAATGCAGCAAGCTAAGCTATAAGGTAGGCTTCTGGTAAAACAACAACCTTTCTAACAATAGCCTATATGCCCCGGTCTGCACTATGTTGGCTGCAAACCCTGAATTGAGACAMAGCTGCAGTAATGAGAGAGGCACTAAGGAGCTGACTTTGGGAAACACCTGGGGAGAAACAGGATCAGGTGAGCACACTGGGAAGACAAAGAAACACTAGAAAGACACAGGGAATAAAGTAACATTAGAAAGAAACAAGAGATAAAGCACAATAAAGAAAAACACAAAACCCTACACCAAAGGGCATTACAAACACAAAAAATTAAAATACAGTTTTTTTTCTAAACAGCTTGGGCACTTGCCAATATAGAGTACAGAGTATAGGCCTACAGTCTCTATTACTGCATCAAATCAAACATACAGCATGATATATACTGTTGAAACATTTTAAAATAAATGAAAACAACTAAGATTTTATTTTCATTTGTATAAATTTCTTATACATGGAACTGAAAAAAACTTCCACTTTAAATGTTAACTGTAACACCAGTGGTGGGCAGCACTAATCTAAAAAATAGTTCCACTAGCCCTAAAACACTAACTCAGATATTTAGTTTCCCTAATTTTAAAGCACTAACCCACTGAAAAATATACCAAAAACTAATTCTAAAGCACTAAAATAACCCAGTCAACCCACAAACATTCTTCAACAGACAACATGAGTCACATATTGACATGTTGCTCTCTTAATTCTCTCATCATTGGCATTCAACAGCTGTATTTGGGTTCATTTATTGTCAATATATTGTCACCTGGTGGATAAGTGACACATATGAACAAAATGTGTGATAGCTTTCATGCTCAGCTGTTCTAAATTTAGACTATAAATTTAACAAGTGTTAATCCACTAAATTTTAAAATTAGCAAAAGCACTAATCAGGAAATTAGCTCCCCTATTAGCGCTTTAGTGCTTTAGGGGAACTGTGTCCAACACTGTGTAACACATTGAATGAAATATCGAGTTAATACTTATTTAAATATTGGAACTGATACCAATACCAGTATTAGTATTGGGACAGCACTACTCTGGATGCAAGTTTTTATTCTGGCACAGAAAAGACTGAGACTGGTGAAGTGGACTAATGAGGATATTGATAAAAAGATTTGTCCATTAAGGGTCATAAATGGTATTAGTAGAATTTTAAAAATAACCCTAAGCTTAACAAGCAGCCATGATTGAGAGGCCAACAGGAGAGATGTGATCTCACCTTGTGGAACCAGTTACAACTCTGACAGCAGCCTTTAAAACCAGCATGTATGTCTTTACAGTAGTGCAGTTTAGAGGACACAAAGGCTTGAACCAGTTTCTCTGCATCGCTGTGAAACAAAATTGTTCTTATTTTTGTGATATTACTCGGTTAGGATCTAAGCTAAGGTACAAATCCTCATCAAAAGCTTCAAAATTGCATGTTTGTGTTGTATCTTAATTGCTGTTATGTACCACAATCTATAATCGGATTAAATTAAATCTCAGCAGATGTGTCTGTTCAGTTCTGACGCTCATTATAGTACAACAGAGACTAAAATTAGGTTTTGCTCCACTAAACACTCCTCGTTTCAGTCTTTAGTAGATGAAACCTGCTGCATAAGTTCTTAATTTGTGTCTCAGGGTGGAGCGTTTGTTGTGAAGCTGTTTGAGGAGTACGCTACGGGCCCTGCAGTCATCACTGTGGTTCTGCTAGAAGTCATTGCCGTTTCCTGGTTCTACGGTCAGTAAAGATGATGGTGGTAGGAGGGATATCTTACTGGAGAAGAGAAAGACAGCTCATGGTCTGTTACCTGTTTGTTCTGACCGTGTCTGTGTGTTCCAGGTACCAACCGCTTCTGTAATGACATCCAGCTCATGCTCGGTTTCTACCCGGGTTGCTTCTGGAAGGTCTGCTGGGTGGCCATTTGCCCTTGCTTTCTTCTGGTCAGTGTCACACACAAGTTAACCATGAGGAGGGCATCGTGTGAACAAGTAGCTTTAAGAAATGTAACTTATTTCTGCTCTTGCACCCAGTTCATCATCATTAGTTTCCTGGCCTTCCCACCCGAGGTCCGGCTGTTCAACTACCACTACCCAGCGTGGACCACCGTCCTGGGCTACTGCATCGGCGTGTCCTCATTCATCTGCGTGCCTGCTTACATGGTCTACCACTTGCTTAACGCTAAGGGCACATTCAATCAGGTACACGATGATCCTTTCATTTCCTTCCCCTCCCATTGTTGTGCCAACCCTAGTCTTTTTCCTTAATCCTTTCCCTTGTTTTCCGCAAGCTTTGTTCGTATACTGACACGTCTCCAACAACAGAGCCTGCTTATGGTTCTTTCCTTTCCCCCATGCTGTCTCGGTCTACCCTCTCCTGTGWGAACATGACTGGAGATCAGGATCAAAGGAGACGAAGGCCAGAGATCAACTTGTAAGATTTACTAGAGAAAATCCTGTAAATGATTTGCACTAACRTTTGTTAAGTAAATTTAAATGCTACAAATTCATGTAATATTTACTCATCATTATCTAGTAAAAGTTATCAAGAATATAGTTAAAGATTTGTGAATAAATCAGTTAAATTTTACATAATTTGCTCAATTAAATCTTGTAACATATACTTGATGAAATTAAGTAAAATTTACCTGATTTATTCACAAATTTTAAACTATATTCTTAATAACTTTTACTAGATAATGATGAGTAAATATTAATTGAATTTATAGCATTTAAACTTACTTAAACATTAGTGCAAATTGTTACGAGGATTTTTTCTAATAACTCTTACAAGTTCTTTAAAACAGTGCACATGCGTCAAGCACAATATTGTAG